ATAGGAACGAATAAATGGAGGTCCCATCTCCTGCAGGGTTGGGGGTAGGAGATATTAATTTCCCATGCACGAGATTACTGTGTGATGGATGTCCTCCCCTGGGTTGGGATGGGTGGGTTTACTGGGCCTGCAGTAATTGGTGCAAGTTGTTGCAGTGTCCCTGCTGGTCGGCGAAGCTAATAAACTAAGCAAGTTTCTCTCAAAATCAGAAAGGAGACGGTGCCTCACATCACATAAGTTTGGCATTTTCCGAAAAAAGATTCAGAGACTTTTTCAACAATTTTCTTGCTGATAACATAATTATTTGTAAATTCCCGCCAAAACAACTTTGTGTGACACGAGCACGCCCGCTTGCATAAGTAGGACGAATGCGACAAGTCCCGATGAGGATGTGGACTGCTAAATAGGAATTTCGACGACGTCCTCCCAGGTGACATCATCCTTGCGTAAGGTCTCTATTAACGAAGATGGTTTAATGCTTTTAGGGGCAACAACTGTAAGTGCTGTAATATTAGTAAAGCTCACGCTTACATGAACAAGGGTTCTTTTAAGAGCCACTAAACTTACAAAAGCAAATACCAGTACTCCTTGTAGATTAGTAATATTATTTTACCTATTTTTCCATAAAAGTGTCAGTTAAGAGAAATTGGCGTCGATATTCATGACACCTTTTTCAAATGTTCCTGCAGATGAGCTGCACCCCCAATTTCTAGTGATAATTTTTAGAAAAAAAGTGTGGCTGATACATGTGTAATTCTGACAAAATCAGACTCAACGATCTTTCCAACGCTGCTGCAAAATGTGCAAACTAACACATAGTTATAGTGCTTGGCCAATGTAGTATGTTTATGGTTCAACTTTACATTCTCGCATGATAAAATTAACTCTAAGAACCAATTTAAACGAGATAAATAAACTTGTTTCATATTTGGCCAAAACCTCTAGAAAACGTTTTTTATGCCTTTGCTGCAAAAATACCAGGTCAGAGTGTCCGACCAGGCTCAGCAGATAACACAAAATTTACCGCACATTTGTCTAATGACCGACTGTTATTTGCAGCCTAATTGATATATGTTTTTCACCATTTTCTTTTTCCTTTTGCTGAGAGGAGACCAAGATACCACCAGGTTTTTTTTTTTTCCTTTTTCAGTGAATGAGCACATAACCCGAGCTTAACAAATGAAAAGTCAAATATTTTGGAAGTGATTAGTCTTCTTAGATTTTAAACTTTGGGGATGAGAAACACAAAGCAAGATTGCCAAATGAATGTCAAAATTGACTGCTGAACAGAATTGCAGGCTCGATGTGATCAGGAATGGGGGATTCTCCCACTGATTTACATCAGCTTTTAGGGCATCAAATAATCTTTTTTCCACCAAATGAACACGTCATGTAAGTCAGAAAGTATCACACAGTACGAGACTAATAATTTTGATCAATCTTTCCTGGAGCTCTCACCTTGTTTAATGTTTCAACAAGGCAACAAAGCATCTGGTACATTGTTGTCATGACAGCTACTTGTCTAACAAATGATATCAAGCCAATAGTTGCAACTGAGGCACCACAGAGACCTGTATGATCTCTTTTGTCAAAAAGTTAGTCTGCCGGTAAATGCACCCTTAATGTTCATCAACAACTGCTGCATTTACTTGAGAATAATCCAAACATGGCTGAGAAAAAAGTTCTCACAAAGGGCTCAATGTGACTGCTATTCAAAGTTTCTCTCCTCATTCATGTGTAAACAATGCTTTCTGGGAAATTTCTAGTAAATGTCAAGGAATTTTTTAAGCTAATAAAACAAAGATGTGGTTAATGGTGTTTTGATGACACAGACGAAAAAGTGGTTAGTTAGATGTAAATTTCAAGTCAGCATGGGTAATGAAATGAGTTATCCCAAAATGTTATTACTGATTTTGGAATTTCAGTGATGGCTTTCACTGCCCATGTAGGAATTATGATCAGAGGTCATTGGTCATTGGAGATATTTGGCCTGAGAATACCCTTATTTTTAGACTGTCAAAACCAGAAAAGTTGTCTTTACTTAAGGGAGAGGTAACGGAAGAGATGTGCTGAGAAAGTTAATGAAAACAGTTCAATGTTCTTGAAGTCTGATAGATTTAGAACACAACCCAGTTAATTGAATTTGTAGATGGCTTTTGGGTTTGTCACAGCTGCAGCAATTAATGCAAAGTTAGGTAATTAAGTATGCAAAAAATGCAGGAAATGGAGGTTTTCCCAGGGGGACCCTATAGCTTCCAGGGAATTGGATATTTTGACTTATTACTCTCCCACATTAATTTTGTTAAATCACGATACTTAATATTTGAGCGTAGTTACTAAAACAAGGAATGACCTACAATGACCTACAATAAGCTACATTGACCAACAATGACCCACAATGAGCTACAATGAGCTATTACCAGTGTTATGAAAAATTGTGGCGTGACTTTGTGCGTTGGTTCGTCATTGGGCGAAAAAGTTTAAATAAAGATTTTTCCATAAATTAAGCTTATGATCTGTTCTGCACAAGATATTTACACAAAACGACAGCAACTTAAGATGACACAGAATGGGTAAAGAGAGTGAATGGTGCCAAAGCTATATTGTTAATTACATATTTTATTTATTTATTTATTATTTTTATTAGCTATGTTTATATTTTTATTCTTTTATCTTCTTGACGCGTAATAGCGTTGAAGAGTATTAAAATAGATGTAGATGAAAGGATACTGACATAGCCTCATGATGGTGGGATGACCTTTTTGTTTTGCTGTCTAAAATTATCAATGAGTTAAAGCTGTTGGCAGGCCAAATACGTCTCATATTCTCATGGTGCTGTCATACTTGACCTTATTAATGGTTTTGATCTAAAAATATCAGTGAGTAAAAGGTGTTGACAAGCCAAATACGACTCATAGCCTCATGATAGTGTGAAATTATGGGAGGCTTGTTATATAAGAATAAAGGCCGCCCAATATCGGTGATTCCAATAATGGTGAAGGTGTTTGAAAGGATAGTTTATGAACAGTTATATGCCTATTTGGAAGAGCACGATATTCTATGTCAAAACCAATCAGGGTTTTGTGCTAATCATTCATCTGTAACAGCTTTGTTGGAAGCGACAGATTCTTGGGCGTATAATATTGATAACAAGAAAATCAGTGGAGTCATTTTTCTAGATTTGAAAAAAAGCTTTTGACACTGTTGATCATCAGATCCTTCTATCGAAACTAAACTATTATGGTATACATGGAAAATCTTTCAGATGGTTTCAGTCATATTTGGAAAACCGAACACAAAAATGCTCTGTGAACGGGTCGCTATCCAGTAGCTACTTGTTGACTTGCGGCGTCCCTCAAGGGACCATCCTCGGTCCATTATTGTTCTTATTATAAATTATATCAACGATGTTCCAAATTGCTTATCAAATTGTAAACTGAGAATGTATGCCGATGACACGCACCCCACATATGCGGGAGGCAATCTTGAGAACGTTCAGTTTTGTCTAAATGAAGACCTAGAAAACATCTTCAACTGGCTACAAGCGAACAAACTCACGTTGAACATGACTAAAACCGAATTCATGCTAATAGGGTCGAGGCAGAGACTGAATACTCTCACAGCTTCACCAACAATTAGAATGAACAATACAGGCTCATTCTAGTGAGCCAGGTTACAGCTCTAGTGAGCAGTACATTCTAGTGAGCCAGGTTACAGTTCATCATAGTGAGCCAGGTTACAGCTACAAAATCGCTTGGTGTAATAATAGACGATAAACTCGATTGGCATAGTCACATCTAAAAACTAACGAAAAAGATCGCCTCTGGTATTGGGGCCCTAAAGCGAATTAGGCACCTGATCCCAGCATCAACCTTACATCTCATCTACCAAGCTTTAGTAAAACCTCACTTTGATTACTGTGACATTGTTTGGGGTTGCTGTGGGAAACGCTATGAGACAAACTGCAGAAATTGCAGAATAGAGCAGCCAGTGTGTTGACATTCTCTAACTATGATGCTGATGCAACTGAGCTACTCGAGTTTTTAGGGTGGAAAAATCTTGCACACCAGCAGGAAATCCATAAAGCCACCATGATGGTTAGATGTCTGCACAGGCTAGCTCCAAGGTATCTATATTCAAAGTTTACATGGCGTGACTCTGCTTATGACCTCAGGGATTCTGAAAATGAGCTTAATGTTCCACTACCGCACACTAATTATTACAGAAAAAGCTTTAGCTAGAATGGGGCCACATTATGGAACAGCCTACCACGCGATATAAGGAACACAGAGTCTCTGGGTTTATTTAAACATAAGATCAATGACATTCTTTTAGTCTAACGCACGGCATTCACGGAAAACAGCTTTAGTGTTATGGTATGTAGTTTTAATTTTAAATATCTGAGCGTATGTGGTATGTATTTTTATAGGCTGATGAATTGATCGTGTTTAAATAAAGATTAAATAAAATAAATAAATAAAATAAATAATTTCTAAAGAAACTGTTTTGGGGCTGCGTCGGTGGGGGTAACGAAATAATTTGGATATATCAACAAAGTTGAAATGGTAAATTGGCCTCCATAACAATTACATCAGCTTTTGTAATCATTACGGTGGCCAATTTACCATTTCAACTTTGTTGATATATCCAAATTATTTCGTTACTTCCACTGACGCAGCCCCAAACAGTTTCTTCCATAACTATCAGCCTTTATTCAATCTATTTTAAGGCCTGGGTCAATTGACATCTTCAATGTTGATTTTCATAGCATTTGAGGATGCTCAGGTTCTTTAAATTTAAAGCCAATAGACCAGAATGTTGTGTTTGTTGTATCTCATGGACATCTAAATGAAGTTACAGTCCTTGGAATACAAAAATTTGCTGACAATAGGTAGGCCATATTTGAAATATCAAATAAAGCTACACTGTAAAAGGTGCTGTTCATGGCTCGCTTTCAATACCCTTCCCTCACTTCATACCAGTTATGTGATTATTTACAGAACCTCCTGAAGTTGTTGTTAGCAAAGACCAAGATGTTTGTGAGGGTTCTACAGTAATTTTGAGCTGCAATGCAACTGGTAAACAAATGCCAAATATTACATGGACAAAAGAAGAGGGAAATGGTATTGACAGTGGACCACTACCATCTGTGGATGGGCTTCATGTCATCAGTAATAGTAACAAAAGCACAAATGGAACATACCGCTGTACAGCATCCAATGGAGTTGGGAATCCTGTAAATCTGACAACAAAGGTGATTGTGGGAAGTAAGTTACCATCTTTGTGATTATTTAAATTTATTTTCTCTGTATTTCCTCATGATTGACAAATGCAGTAAAATAATGTATGGTCTATAGTAAAGGGAAGTCTTCAATGATGCACAAATATGACCCTCCATAGTACTTTGATGCTAAAGGTGATAGCACGCTCACAACATGCTTCCATTTTAGAACAAAGGAAATCAGTTTTAGCATGCTTAAAGTGTGTCTAAGAGCACACTTCATTAGCAAAATCTTTTGTTTCACAGAACACACTAAAAACAAATAAAGCGTGACCTGTTGAACAATGTGGCGTGAGCAGTTGAACATAGAAGCGTGTTAACCTTCGAAAACAAAAGCTACCGTGCAAGACGACGCAACACACTTAGCGTGCGTGACGACACAACATACTTAGCGTGCGAGATCGCACACAACAATTAGTCTAGTGGGTCCGCCGTGTCACTTGAATCTCACTTGTATCTGGCCATAAATTTTCAAATGGGAGGGCTTGAATAGGGCCTGATCAGATGCGCTTGACGGCACACATGTCTTGCTCTGTTCTTGCTGAATTCTCATTTGTTTGTCTCTCTGGTGTCAGCTAGCCGAATCATCACCATGACTTGTCATGTTTGGTTCTTGCTGATTAGTGTATTTTTTTATGGCTGGTGTCTCGCTGAAAATTTTTGTACGGGACGCGCCAATGATCACACAGTAAGCATGCCACTGATTGCACACAAAGCGTGCTATCGATCGCACACTAAGCATGCTATCGATTGCACAGCTACACAAGGGTGCTACCAATCACACACTAAGAGAAACCAAAGATTTAGCATGTTAAGTCTTGCAAAAGAAAATAAGTGTGCTCTTCTTTGTTAAATCTATGCATAATCCTTGTTGCAGGACACACTAAGTGTGTTGTGTCAGCGTGTTCTGAGCGTCCTATCACCTTTAGCTTTAAAGTCCTATGGAGGGTCACAAATTTTCCAAGCAAAGGAGGGTTTAAGAGTGGTAACAAAGGAAATCTTAGGCTCTTTTCTGTTTTAGTTTCCACAAATCAGATTGAGAAGGCTCATTAGTTCATGTCAGTGTTGTCATGGCGACTTAGGTTAGCCAAATGCATTGTGAAATCTGAGTATGCATTGGAATCCCTCCAGACATCACCCTGTTTTTTTCCTGACCATCAACTGAAGGTTACAATGTTTAGTGGTTGAATTAATTGTAGAAGAATTTTAACTCTATCACAAAGGGAATCAAATTAAGTTTTAAGAGGTACAGATAACTGATTTCCAGACAACACCTCCATTATCAGACATAGGTTGGTTATACCGTATTTATTCACTTAATATATTAGGCGCACCCTTTTTTTGCAAGAAAATGTGCCTGTTTGATCAAAATCTGCTCAAAACCTGGGGTGCCTCTTAGAACCGAGTATTTTCGCGCAACAAAATCTTAAGATCACAATTTTACCGGAACTTACAGTTACAAAGACATGAAAAGAATGCTAGTTGTTGGTCATTAACTTTTTTAGATATGGTGGTTCTAAAAAGAACCAGGGGGGCTCTGAAAAGAGCTGTTGTGGTGGTTCTGAAAGAACCGTTTCTTATAATGGAGTGCGTCTTATAACCAAATATATACGGTATTAGGATAAAAATTGAGTGAGAGGGAAACTGTCATCAGTCCAAGGCAATGCCTTTTAATCCTTCCTGAAATTCCCAGAATCAGGAAGGGTTGTAAAAAAAGTGGAGTGGACAGACAAGATATTTGATTTAATATACAGTCATGTAGATCTTGGAAGTGAAATGATTGACCTTGCATTTTGACAATTCTCTAAGTCCAAGCAGCACCAAGGCTAAAACAAAATTTTTAGATAATTTTAAGTTAAATGTTTATTTCCTAAGGTAAGGGATATAAAGTCTTAGTTTAAAATAAATTGCAAATGTTAAAGTCTTATAAAAACCAAGAAAGATTTATTGCTGCTTGATGTTTCAGAATCATCATGACTCCATTGGCAAGAAACTAGTTAACTTGCATGCAACTAAGGAAGGGTACAAGATAAGCATAAATTACAATAAATGGCCTAAACAAACACCTTGGCATGAATGGAATCTGTTTGCACTGAGCCCTGCCCATCACCTGATGTACCATTGGAGACTGGGATTTACAAACATTATAACTTCCAACACAATAGTGAAATGCCTGAATGCTTCATTGAGCAATTTCACATCATCTTGAAATGTAGCTGCAAATTTGATTGCCTTGTTAAAGAAATGTTATACATTCGCATGTGTAAACCAACACTGAACGTGCAAACAGATTCTATCTGCACCACGGTGTTTGTTTTAGGCTGTTTATTTTAATTTATGCTTATCTTGTATCTTTCCTTAGTTGCATGTTAGTTAACTAGTCTCTTGATAATGGATTCATGATGATTCTGAAACAGCGAGCAGCAATAGGTCTTTCCTGGTTTTTCATATGCCTTTGCTTCAGCAAATCTCTCTGATCAAATATTAAAGTAGCACAGATGCAAGGTTTTAAATCTACAAATATCTGATGTCAAATCCCAAAATGTGCAAATTAAAATAATTTATTAATTTAATTGCAGATTCTTCATCTGTGGATGATGTAGTTATCTCTTCAAATACTGTGGTTGAAGGTTACCCATATAACCTGAGTTGTGAGGTATCTGGGGTTCCTGAGCCAAGTGTTTCTTGGATCAAAGTTAGCAATGGTGAGCGCCATGCTGGGAAGTTATTAAATTTTACTAGTATTAGCAGAAATGATGCTGGGAACTACACATGTGAAGCAAGTAATAGATGTGGAAAGGACTCTAAGACTGAAGCTATGGATGTGTTCTGTAAGTACCATGTTTTGTTTGCTTGGTAAGTTTTAATTAATTTTGCTTTAATGACTTCTAATAGCCTGTAACTACAGTAAAGGTCATCCAAAAAATGAGGTTACATTTATTTAGCAATACACTTTACCATTAGAGATCAAAACAATGCAGCAGAATGAACATATTACAAAAGGACTGAATAACCAAACTCTGTCATGGGATTTTGCTCCTGTATTTGATTTTCTTGAGAAAACCATTGATTTCTACCATTCCACAAAAAGATGCTTGAAGGATTTGTAAACTGAGTGATTGATTGTATACCTCAGAAAAGTAATTATCCCTCCTTTTATCCAAAGTATTTAGGCTGGTTTATAATTATGATTAGTATGATTTCATAGCTGAGTGAAGAGTTTCCAGCAATCTGATTGGTCGAGTGGTTCCTTATATGACGCTATATAAACGGCTACACACGGGTTATATAAAATGGTAAAATAAGATGTTAATAAATGGTACTAAAATGTTACGATTTTAGGAATTTCTCTGTTGTTGAGCTCTGAAATTATACTAAAACAATTATTTGCCTCAGGTTCGGTGAATATAGTCGAATAATCCCCTCAACTTTGTCTCAGGGATTATTCAACGATATTCACCTCGCCTATGGCAAATAATTGTTAAATACAGTTCCGGGTATGCTAAGCTGAGAAGTTAACAAAATTCGTTTATTGAATTCTCACAGGTAGCTATACAGGCTCAAATTTGCCAGTGCCATGATGACATAAAGATGTCCTTTCATTGTATGCGCAACAAAAGAAATATGAATTTGAATTTAGGTTATGGATGGTTATTAAATAAATGTAAAAACTTTGATAATTCCCCATATCTTCAAAACTAACAAGTGTCACTTTAATAACAGCAAAATACCAATAGTCTTTTAGTTATTGCTGTAAAGTAAAACAGTTGTCAAAACAAAAAAGTTAAGTTACCTTCCATTCATGACAAAAATTCTCAGAGCATAACAACATTTAGTGCATCAACTCGTGATGTTAACATTATTGACGGAAGTGCCTCTCAAAATTTTAAATGTCATTTTGAAAGCATCTAGTGACATGGACTGCCTTAATTTGGCCCAGACAGCGACTAAACTTTGGAAATTTGCAACAATTCAAAGAAAAGGCCAGCATACTGCATACTTGAACAGAATTTTTTAAAAAGATCAGTCAATTGAAAATATCAATTGCAATTCAGGGAACATGCTAGTGCAGGGCAATACTATGGTGATCAATGAATAAGTCATGTACAATCCCCAGTTGTATTGCCAGATATTAGTAGATTTAAAGTTTTAAAACTGATCCAGAAAGTAATGTCTGCAATGATGGAAGTGCCCTTAAAGCAGGTTAAGTGAAAACTAAGGCCAACCCATCACAATAATAAACTAGTGTCACTTTTTTAGAGGAATGCCATACAATTGAAACATATAGTGTAATGTTACACTTACAGTTATATCAAAAGGAAAGGTTCTTGAAAATATGGCTTTTGGCTAGAAACTGAAGTAATTGTAAGATTTATTTACTTGAAACCTAGTATAAGAGGCACAACACACATGAGTCTTCTGATTATTTGCAAAGGAAGAAGGACTGAAATGTGCCAGTGAATATCTCCAAGTGGAGCATTATGCATCATGAGTGACAAAGGATCAGTTGGCATTTAACCATTATTGTATACTTATTTGATTTAATTTTCTTGTATTATTGTAATTTTTTTCCTTATAATTTAGATTTAGTAGTAATAGGTCCACATCAGCTGTACATTTGCATATTTTTAAAACCTACTTATCAAATAAAATTAATGTATGTATGTATTACTGCCTAACAAAGTCAATGAGCTTGGAATACATAAACACTTAACTTGGTGATTGAGCTACACCAGAAATAACCACTTTGCAAGATAAAATAATTATGCAGAATTGAAATAAATAATTAATAAGAGTTTAACTTTGTAAGAATTCATTCTCATGATGCTTTTAAAGTAATTGAAACTAACTTAGAATTATAGTAGATAACTTCCTTGTTGTAACAATTTTTTCAAATAATTTATGAATTATGATTTTTTTTGCTGTTGCTGTTGAGTAACAGGAAATAAGTTGATGAATTATCTTCTCATGAGTAACATAATGACCTTGTCATATTCTTCTCTCAGTTGGACCTGAGCTTACCCAGTTCACAACATCTGCTGTCCACCACAAAGTATGTCAGAATGATGTCATCAGCCTTAACTGTGCTGCTGATGCCTATCCACCTGTGACGTCATACCAGCTGTTTGAGAATGGTAGTGCTATCTTGGACACAAACACTTCTGGAATGTGGAGTAGGAATATGTCAACTATGGGAGTGTTCATATACAAATGTTTCGCAAACAACACTTATGAAACAGGAAATAGTGAAAGGATTCTTATTAATGTGTATGGTGAGTGACTGTTCTATGTTCTGAGCTTAATTCTTAATTTTAGTTAGCATAAGCAAGGTTTATGTGTAGGATAACAAATAATCTGTAATGTTGCTAATAATAATGACCTCATAAATGAGCACCGTGGTATCTTTATTAAGTCGTATTGCTTACAATTTTCTTTGCTTGTTCTTTAAAACACCAAGTGACATGAAGGGAGTTTTTTATTTTGTAGTGGTATAACCATAGTTGCCATGAAATCAATATATTTTCAAGAATTTCAGTTGACTTGTGACGCATTATTGGAGTATGCTGGACAGCTAATGTGCTGCTTCTTATTGCTCACAAAATGTGCCAGCAGTTGTTGCAATTGTTATTGTTATTATTTTATGCATGTACACAAGGTAATTACCTATACTTCTCCAAGTAATGTTTCATAGTGTTAGAAAGCATGTACTCTGCCAGCAAAAGTAAGCTATTTTTTTGCTAGGTCAAGGCAGGAAATAATATTATTTTACCTAAAGAGCACGTGTCCTTTCAAATCTTTATCTTACTCAAATTGGCTTCACTTGAATCAGCACAGTCATCTAGCATAATTGATTAGCATGATGAAATTTACCAGCCTTAGAAGGAACATTCTAAACTGCATTTTTAAATTTGAATAACTTATCAGCTATGACTATCGGGGTGGTTGACTATTACTATGACAACTGCTCAAGAGAATATAGTTACCAGGTATTCAAAAAAACAATAATTGTCAATAAACTGTATTCTGGAATGATGGGAGCCTTCCCTTTTTCAAAAATGGAAAGGAAAGACTATTGCTGGGCTTTGTTGAATGCCAATTTCTGCTTAAGAAAAGTTGAAAAGGGAAAAAACTACGCATTTCAAGAATACTTTGAAAAAATAAACTTTTACTGCCTAGAGTCGATTCTTTGACCTTTCACCTGCAGGGAGAAGCATAATATATTGCGCCAAGTAAGCAAATTTAGTTTAGGACTGACAATTTGGTAGTTTAGTGGCAGGGCTCAACACCGATGGTAGCCCACTAGCCACAGACTGGTAGAAATTCAGTTTTGGCTAGTGGTTTTCAATTTCCACCAGCCATTTTGGCTAGTAAACAGACTGAAATTGTCGAAACATTAAAAAACATCTAAGATGTCACTAGCCACTCGGCTAGTATGTTAAAAGTTAGTGTCGAGCCCTGAGTGGTCCCAGTTTCTTGACTTCAGGATTTCATGGTAAACAGCATTGTAAAGAAGAGTCACAGCAGATTTGATGAAGTGTTTTTTTTGTTCCTAAGACTGACTGATGAAAAATGAAGGAAATAAATGATTCATTGACATAAATGAACGGGACAAAAATGCTGTCAACTCAACAAGAGCAAATTCAAAGTGACCAAAAGAAGAAAATGCTTATAACATAATATTCTATTATTTTGTTCTTCTGGTATTCACACGTGCGTCAGTATTTATTCACTTTTCATTTGGCCCTTGTTTCGTATTTACTTATTTCACAGACACCTGAAATTGTCGTGTGCACTTTTTCAACAAGCTTTCTGCAAACAGCTGTGTTTGTAGTGCATGCTATGCTCTATAGGGTGTCTCATCTGGCAAATCCAGGCAAGAAGAGCACTTTAAGAAATGAGTTGTATCTTGAAAACAACTCAATGATTCAATAACAATTCACTTGTAAAACTTAAACAGAAATGTTCAAATTTTTTTGGTGAAATATTCAGACTTGACATCTGATCAAATTGGGAAATTGATCAGATAATCTAAACTAGGGCACACTTTGTTTGTACTGGTAGTGCTGTATAAAAAAAAAAAAAAAAAACTCATTTATGAATATTCATTATTGACCAAGGGTAAGGTCAAGATAGCTGGTTATTGGAAAGTTCTAAATGCAAAAAAAGAACAAGGCTAGTATCCAGCCATCTTGAGTGAATAAGCCCAGTCTTTATAAATAAGCAAAAAGATTTCGCTGTGATAAGAAACAAGAATGTCTTGTTTTTTTTCCAAACCTGGGAAACAAAGCCAACTGTGTTAGCAGCCCAATAAACCCATAAGGGCTGTTTATGTTTGCTTTTATTTTGACGGTCTTCTGCCCCCTTTTGCGACATTATTGCCGATATTGTCCAAAAATAACGAACTTTTTAAGTCCGCTCCGCGCCATTTTTGTGTTGCGTGGGATCAAAGCGGGCAATCTTGAGCAGGCAAGATGGATCTATTTTGCCCACTTGGGATTCCATTTCGAACACAGGATTCACTTCATATTGCCCACGGTGCTATCAGCCATATAATGAGTGATATAATTGTTGGTTATTGATCCTTAGTGCCTCCTTCCATACAAGAAATAGACAATCAGAAGATAACTGAGGGGAACAATGTGACTCTTACATGTCAGGCATCTGGAGACCCTCCACCAGAGACGTTTTGGATCAAGCCTGATGGTCGGCGTGTTACCAAAAAAGTCTTGACACTTACAAACATTACAAGCAATGAAACTGGGGAATACAGGTGTGAGGCCACTAATTATTGTGGAAACGTTTCAAGGACAGCAAGTGTTTATGTGCAATGTGAGTATATATGTACCGCATTAAAGTCAACATATGTTAAAACTTGCGCATCTACTAACAAGTCTCCCTTTGGTCATAAAAAGGAATTTCATTTTAAAGGAGCAGTTAAGTGTTGTTTCAAAATAGCTTCAAGGATAATTTTGTTGTGTATATAAAGAAGGAATTCTTTATATACACATCCTCACTAGCATTCTCACTTATTAATACCAACATTTTGGGGGTTCAAACTTTAGAATTTAAAAATTTGCAATGAAAATATTTCTTAAGAACTTTTTACCCTCTAACAAAGGAAATCTCCTAGAAGTGATATTCGAGGAATATCACGCTTTTTGAAAGACTATTACGCTTGCTTACAGCTGATTAATCTCTGCATTTCCGTTGAGATATTGTTTTTTACTTGAAGCCAAAACTTTTGATGTTGGGAAGCAGGGATGGACTGTCATCCCTGAATTTTACTTCTTATTAATGTGTGCAGAGTACGGATGTGGATCTAAGTTAGGTTGTGTTATGAAACAAGCATTTATTGTGTAATGGGGTTAAGCTTACACATATGGCGATATTTAAGTGCCCTATGGAAACAGGAACCCTTGTGTATAAGAGCAAATCCCAGACTTTAAAAAGTTTAAAAGAAATGTGAGGCTTCAATTTGAAATGAATGTTCTTTGGAATAGAATGTTCTATAGCGTCTTTATCAGTTCCTTGACGTAAATGCAATAGAAAGAACATAAAATTGTGAAGAGCACTAAAGGTACTTCTGAGTTTGGCAGAACACTTTTCAAAGCTAAGATAATAAGGTTTTTGCTGATTGACTTTACCCTTTAACTCCTATGATCTGACTGATTATTTTCTCTTCTTGCTGCTACACATTTCCTTGTTAATTAGTCTTGAGAATTTGGTGTTGAATCAGGATAACAATCTCTTCTTGAGAAGTTTGAGTTTTCCCATTACCCGTTTGTTGGATATTGTATGGATAATCATATTATAGGGAGATAGGGAGTGTTACATGTTAATTTCTCCTGGGAGTTAAAGGGTCAAATAAGCCTGTCCAAATTGCCTGTTAATCGTGGTATGAGTAATCAACACAATCGTTACAACATTTGTGGGATGCTTTCTTCATTTAAAGAATTTACAACGGAACTCAAAAGCACGCTGAGCTGAACTACATGACTCGGCCCAGTCTTCCATCTATAAATAACTGTGTGGTTACTAAACGAGGGTTTTTATCATTCTCCTAACCTTTTTTTTTTTTTGTCCACATTTCATCATTTTCGTTTAAACTGTGGTCTTTAACAATGAAGATAACTACTGTGAATCTCAAGAATAATGGAAAGCAATTAAGGTCACTGGAATATACACAGCATCAGATTTCAGCATGTTTATAACGTGCAACGTTTTTGCTAGATATCCTTTTTCAAGTTTTCATTTTTTTCCCCTAAAAATCATTCTTGGAATTGACAAGTGCGGCTTATACATACGTTTTTACAGTAATTTAATCTGAAGTGGGAGAAATCACTCCTCATCTTGCATACAGGGGATGCACTAAGTTCAATAAGATTCTGTCCAGTTAGATTTCTGTTGAAGCAAAGCATCATCTTCCGTATCTTTCATGTTGTGGTTCTTTACTTATAATATTGATAATAATGATTGAGACATATGACCGACATATAATAAGCATTTCCTATTAAAAGGAATTTTCCATTCCTTTACAGGCAGATAAAACGGAAAAATTGTACAAAATTCCAGCAAGCGTTTTCTCTCAAACTTCTTCAAGGAAACTATTTGATTTCAAATGCCCCAGTGTTAGTATTAAAATTTAACTAATGAATAGAAAGCAGTGCTGACAAAAAATTAAAATTATATCTCAGTGATAGCACTCATGTAAATGATTGATGCAAGGAACTTTGATAAAGAATGTACATCCATGAACATTTCTAACATTTACCTGTAAGAATTTATAGTACAGGCTGTTACTTCCTAAAGCTTGCATTGTTCCTTTTACAAATATTTCAAATATAAGTCACTAAAATCAAGAACGCTTTATTACTAATAAGTAACTTAATGTATAATTAATGGCGAACACCATATCACAGTGCGTTACAGTGCAACTAGCTAATGAAGAGTTTTGGCAGACGCTGTCCCGCAAAATCTGCCACCTGTTAGTAATTTGAGTCTATGAATCCATACTTCTTACTTACCGAGTTCGAGAGCCGGAAACAAGCAGAAAAAAACCAGGTTCCGTTACTAACATTTCGGCCCGAGAAAAACGAGGTTAGTGAGGTGTTTTTTTTTTTTATCTCTTGGTTCAATAGAAAGGGAAAAAATTTCAATTCAAGCGGAACGACCAATGATGATTGACGCGGGTCAAATCCTTGGCACGATAGCATTTTATTGGATTCCAATTAAGACTAGACTTTTAGCAATCAATGCTTCAAAATGTTCATTTAAAATCCATAGTAAAAAATAATTCAAAATGAAATGAAAACAACAAAGTGTTCAAAGGCTTTTTGCAAGGAACCGTGATGCAACGGTCTCTAAGTAACTCATTTGTCAAGAGTATTTTTAGATGCTCAAAATCTACACTGCACAACGTAGGAAGTGCGAACTAAGGGCTAACTTTGTTCAGTGTCAACCTCGAATGAATTAATTTTATCCGAAATGTGATCGAAAACAATACAATGATGTTTTCAACGTTTAGTATCCAATTTTTAGTGTTTTGCGGTATTTTCATGGAAGCTGCAAAGTGGATCACTCGGTGCAGACTGATCAAGTTTCAAAACAGTTGGAAATTGAGCCGATGTTTATTTGCGCGAAGAATGATGTGGCATCGCTTGGGAGCTGAACCTACTCAGAAGAGCTTTTCGAGGATAAAAATCGGCAAACAAAGAAAGACGAGCACGGCGAAGATAACTCGAGTATGCTTTTTGAAAGTTTGAAATACTGTCTGGTTCGTACTCCTTGCCATTTTGATAGTGACATCCTTAAGAACATGCCAAGGAGCTTGTAAACTTGTCGTTTAAATGGAGGGTAGATGCCTGGCAGGCAAAGGCGATAGGCAAGGCAAGAACTAGCAAGACCCCATAGCCGGTGTTTTCCATGGTAGGAAGTGATGAGGGGTATTACTACTCCCCCCTGGTTGGAATGCCAATTCATCACAGGGCTATCACCAGCATTTTATCAGGCTTCCCTGACAAGTTTTTGGTACTAATTTATACTCATGGGTGGAGAGAGGCACCGTGAAAGTAAAAATAATGTTTCTTAGGACCACAAGACATTGACCCGACCAGGTCTTCAATCCCGACCACTCGACTCGCAGTCCAGCTCACTAACCATCAGGCCACTGCTTCTCCCACACTAAAAGTAATGACTGTAATTTCAATGTAAAGAAATTTTATCTTTTTCTTTGTCATCAATAACTGGTTGAAAAAACTGTGCCATTACTTCTGCAGATAAACCTATAAGTGTCTTATTGTAGAAGAATGTATCCAGAAACGAAAGCTGTGAGAGGATGTGGAATAATTTTAAATGCTCATAGTCTGACTCAAATCCACCAATACATAACTACTTTGCTAAGACAAGCTAGGGTGTCTCTCATCATTGATCAGTCTTTTAATTGTTAGGAGTTGAGTAAGTCGTGAAGTAATGCAAATTAACATAGAGTGAAGAGAGTTTAGAAATTTTCACAGTCAAGTGAGGGTTTGAGGGAACCTGATTTTACCATGGTGGAGGCAAGATCTTTCGTAGGTTTGACAGTATTTTTGTTTGAGGATTTTCTACACATATAAGGTTTCAAATGCCATTCATTAGGGTCATTATACTTCCGTTACCTTTGTTTTTGTCATTATTTCACTGCCACCGTAACGAAGATACCAGGAGAATATAGTTACTATACACATCCGAAACACAATCGTCCTAATCGGGGGCGCTTTACGAAACAGATTAGGGAGTTTAAGTAAATCACTACGGCTGGCGCTGCTACGGCTATCGTGGTTGACGAGGCTAGGGGAGAGTACGTCGCCGTAGCCTGCCAAAATTCAACTTTAAGCAACGCGAACTGCAAACCTAGTACGGCTGAGAAGTTTAAAACCAATAAGCGTCTTGGCGGTAGTTTTTGTACGGTTAAAAACTCTGAATGACTTCGTTCAAAGAGACGAGGGATTTTATTATACTTTGCTATGACCAAGGGATTCTTAACGATGAATGACTCCTGGTTTTGTACGAACAGTTCAAGTCTCCAAGCTCCACTAGTGCTACATGCAACATCCAAAATTAATCAGTGCAAAAGAAATTTAAAACTCAGAATAGATGGTAATTAAATGCGTTCCTGTCTAACCGGCTGTTAATAGATTCCAACGTTTGGAAAAAAACCATTGTAAGCGATCCTGTGCACAGTGAATGAGTGAATTAAAATATTTAAGCTTACGTGTCGTAAAATTGCCAGTTTGGAGCTTATAAACACCAAAGCAAAGTTTCTACACGGTCCTTCGTAGTAACCCTCGTCATTCCTCGGCCTCAGCTATTTGAATTTCGAGTAGTCTGAGGTTTGAAAAGGAAAAGTTAGACTTTCTACTTACGCATTTTTCCTGCCGTTCGCTGCGTTCTCCATGTGCACACTGCTTCGATCCTTCGACAAACCCGGCTGCAAAAATAAAGGCAGATTCACTCGGTAAGGAACAGCAAGCTTGAGAAATATTCACGATAAGCTATTTTTAAAGATGTTAAATATATTTCGATAGTTAAAATTGCTCAGGCGAATGCATAAATCGAAGAAAGAAACGAGATAAGTTCACGTACCACAGACTACGCCGAAACCTTCTAACTCGCTTAGAAGGATTTCCCGCTACGGCTGGATGGGAACCACTGACATGCGCAATGACTCGTTTCAGGACAATTTTATTTCCGGTAGCCGTAGCAGCGCCAGCTGTAGTGATTTGCTTAAACTCACTATTGAAGGTTTTAATACGGAGTAACCAGCAAAGAATGTGTTTTTAAGGCAATGTGTGTGTTAACTTCGTCACAATTTTAACGCAGTACTTATTTAAACTCTTTAGTTGAAGGGTAAATCATTTTCAATCACATTTGATAATAACCTCAAAACTTCTCACATTTGATCAGAGTTAATAGAGGAAACCCAGTTCCCTCTATTAACTCTGATTTGATACAGTCAATTCTTTCCTATGAGAATCCCCTTGGTGCTGGGACAACTGGTTGCTTAAGAGAAAAAGCAATGTGGAAAGCCAACTAGAAATCAGTATTTCTTTTGTCATCAGTTAATCGGTGCGGATCGATAAACAAAGTTCCTTTTGAATTCAGGTATTTTAAATGATTTCGGGTAAAGGTACGTAAACGGATATTCATTCTTGAGGTTTGCGACATGTATCTTTGTAATATGATTGTGCTCCATGTCAAATCGCCTGAAAAATATCACTCGAAAGAACTTTCAATTGCGATGCCACATAAAGGGAATGTCGCACGTTTTGCTTCTCTTCTATCTTGACCAGATCTCTGTCTCATCGAAAACAAAAGGGAAAATTCTTCATCAAATTTCTGGCATCGAAAGTGATCGTGATCGTTTAATAAGTACGAAAAGTGGTTGTTTAAGAGATCTATGTTGAAATTGTTTTGACTGAGAAGTGAAACGACTTAGTAAGTGACCGTTTAAGAAAAGTGAAGGTGTAATGAAGTGGTAGGTAAGAGAAAGTGGACCGTACTTTCCAAAATCTGAGCAATGAATTGCAATTATTATATCAAGACTCATCATCTTGTAAAGGTTTTAATAAACAACGTTACTGTAGGTGGAGAGCCAGTATAATGTGGCCCTGCACCTACGGTGTAGTTTCCCAACAAAGTTTTCGGATTTTTTTAGGTCACATTGGAGAAGTTTTCTCGTGCAAACGTTTCCGTCTTGCAAACAAATGCCTTGAATGTCTTTGAAAATTGTGTAGTGTAGTGTAGTGTCTTTCAAATTGAGTTCCTATGCCCTGTTAGGTGTATTAAATCTTGTAACTCTAGTGACCTTCAAAGCATTCAGGTCGATTAACTGAAATTCCATTTCACATTGTGATAAGTTCCACGCCCTCATTACGTAATAGAAAGTTTGTTCAGGAGACTTCAGCAGTGTTTTCTTTCGGAGAGTGTACAGATCTGTATGAGGTAGTATTCTTTCTACATAGTAGAACATCAACCATCGAATTTTCTTTTTTGTTTTATTATTACCAGCCACTTATACAAATCTGTGCCAGTCTTTCCGTTGGTCTCGCGATGTAGTAACATTGTGGGTTGCGACGTTTCCTCTGCAGTATACTACTCTTCAAGCGGGAGCCTCCTTTTGAAGCATTATGCACCGCAGTGATTGGCTGGTTTTCAACTGCTGTGACTGGCTCACTTCAAGATATGTTGGTTCAGCTGTCCGATGTTTTACGGTCTTCGTGTTGATTTATTTTAGATTGACAATGAAATGACTACGTCGTCAGACAAGCGATAATAACTCGATTAGTTTATTCACCACAAGGGATAACCACAACCGTTTTATTATATTGATCGCTGATAATAATTAAGCACTTGTTATTGCTGTGACTACTGCCTCCTACAGGAGGCGAAGCCGCATTTGCTATCGAGATGAGTGAGTGAGTGTAACAATAGAATTCCGATCTGGAATCAGTCTTGACCCGATGGTTCCTGGTGATACTTATTGCTTCTTTCGGAGTATCTTAGTATTTGACATTTGCACTTGATATACAGTTGAGTTCTCTCCTTATGTAATTTCAGAATTATAGCCATTAGCACAATATGTTTTGAGTTCTTTTCATGACACTATGGAAGAGAGCAGAAGACGATAAACACCTCACAATCATTTGCGGATTCTGCGCGATTTGAAACAGAAGTTTTTTTTGCAGAAATATTTTAATAGGTATGGTGGGTGCATCATCAAGACTTAGGGGTATCATGGCAATAAAAAATTTCTTGTGAAACGTGATCTGCACATCCTGTTAGCTTTGAGAAAAGTTTTTTTTCTTTGAAAAGAGAGTATTTTCGTTGCATCGGCGACTTTTTCCGAAAAGGGTCGCTAAATTTGAGTAGCGAGCAAGCTGTGAAATACGATAGTTCTAATTATTCAACAGAATGACGGAACGGAGAAACAGAGAAATGGCTGAAAGGCGGAATATCTTAATACAAAAGTCTCGAAAAATTAAATTGCGATTTAAAAAAAATATCAATTCCAATTAATATAAACTAATTGCGATTTTGAGACGGTAGTACCACATTATATTGACGGCTAGTTGGGAGAAAATATATTCCGTATTGGGCGGAGTCGCGAAGCGACGGAACCCAATACGGAATATATTTTCTCTCAACTAGTCGTCAATATGCTGTGGTTTTGCCGTCTCAAAATCGCAGTTAGTTTTGAATCGCGTTCCATCATTTATAAGGATAAATAAAACTGTAAAATAATCAACCCGCGCCTGATCGAAATATCAATTCTTTCCACCTGCGAAACTTATCCATGGTAACACTAATTTTGCACGCAAATAACTTTGTCGCGGGTAAGTTGAAATTCCCCGCAAGTCTGTAGTCTTTGTTACCGTAAAATGAGTTGATTGAAACCGAAAAGTGTTGAAAATTACACAGAAATGGAGTCCGAAGAGCCATTTGGTGATGAAATACCAAATTTTGATATTTGTGGGACTGTTTTTAAAGAGTTATTTAAGGACATCGATGAACTAGACGTCGATGCGAAAACCGAAACGGCTGCCTCGAGCGAAAATAGTGGGTGGAAAAGTACAGACAATGGGAAGAATATAATAACACTTTGAATTCTTGCCAGATTAACATTCATTTTCCAACTGGCGAGTGACTTTGTCACATTATTACAATGTTTATGACTGTAAAAGTCGAATTTTCAATAAATACTGTTGAACTTGAAATGAAATATTTGTACAATCATTTGAATGCGGCGGTAATTTGTTTGTGTACGTCAGCAACCCAATTTAGTGCAACGACGTCAATTTCAAAATTAGAACCAATCACAGGCCGCAAAAGTGAGGCGGCAATACCACGAAATATTGACGGCTCGCGCATAGCCAAAACTATAAGAAGATCGCGATACTTGGCGAAATTAAGAGAAGCATAGGTAATCATTGTTGGAGCCCAGAGTGTAGAGGAACCATGAGGCTTTCAAGCTAGTCCCTTATTATTATTATTATTATTATTATTATTATTATTATTATCATTATTATTATATGACTATTGTTATCACTTTTCTTATTATAGTTAATACTATTATTTGTTACCATTTAATTATTGGTTGAATGTCATTTATACAATTACTTGAATCATCTTTCTCTTGTGAAACAGGGTACTTAAAAATATGTAGAATGCGTTTTCTGTTTTGCTTGAGAGACAAATATTCTTCAACACTACCTATACCAATAGCCATATGCAGTCTTTGATTGACTGTTTTTTATCGTTTAAGATGGTCCAAAAATTCCCATCGAGTCCAGTAATTGCAAAGAGTATGTTAAAAAAGGTGATCATTTTTCCATGGAGTGTCCTGTAGAGGGAAATCCTCAACCAAACATTACGTGGTCTGAAGGAGGGAGAATTCTAAGTCACAACAAATCCAAAATCACTCTCAAATCCCAGCATATTGGTGAGCACATATATACGTGTACTGCTTACAATGGAATTGGGAAGCCTGACAGCTTAACGTTTCTCCATGTTGTAAACGGTGAGTTTTTTTACTGTTACACGTATAGCGTTTACAATTTGTGAATAAAAATTCAGTACTTCTAATGAAAACGAATCTTTGCAGATATATAATTAACTTGCCGTATGTGAATTAGAAATGTCTAAGCTCACTTGTGTTGAGAACTTAGATATGTACATATAATGTTAACTATCGTAATCGATTTACGAATAAAATTTTACAGAGGTGACTCGGTGTTGACAGCGAGTACAAAATGGAACTTGCCCTTTCGGAATGCAAATCCGACTTGATCACTATTTCTCTGGTAGTCATAACATTTTATAAAGCGGAAGACCTAAACAAAGAGTTAAAGGGGGTCTGGTAATTAGCCTTTTTCAAGTTGTTTTGTGTTCATTGTTGAAATTGCCTGCAATTGCTTGACCTAGTCCCCACGATACTTTACATGAACGGAAAAACTGTTAAGTTGGTTTTTGAAATGTCAGTCTGCTAACAGAGTGTTAAGCTAATGCCATTTAATTAAAGTGATGATCAACAGGTGTTGAAATTGTGCTTGATTTTTATTTTCTCAGATATTGTAAAAAAGGATTTTATTTACAAGATGAAAGAAAAATCGGAATTTACGAGGCAATTAAGCGAAGACAACAAAAAACAAATAGAAGTTCAAGAGAAGGTGAGATATAAACTTTAACACACCTACCTTGACTTGCACTGATACTTTCAACTACGTAGCAAACTTGTGATGAAAAGTAGAAAGCAATCACCATATAATTGTTGTGCTAGATGTTCTGTTTTCAGCTTTCGATAACCGCGGTAACCGAGTCTTTAGAGCCCCGTAAACCACACTTGTTGTTTTGTAAGTTTCACGAATCTCTTCTCAACACTATCGTGTTTTTGAAAATTCAGTTGGTCGGGAGGGGTTCCCCTCGGCGATGTAATTTTCATTAGACTTTCTAAAGTACCCGTGAGACGAAAATTGACCATTTTATCTTGCGCTAATTTGTTTACAGAATGTTGAATTGGGTCAAGTTTAAACCTTTTACGCCATTAAAAACTCAAAACAAACCTTGTATGACCAATTTTTACCGCTTCAAAGTCTTCCAAAAACCGTCCGCCATTCCTGAAAACATGTTCCAGCCGAGCCCGCAAACATACATGTACATCACGATGTCAAAGGCTCAGCAAACCTTTGGTTTACTTTGTCACAACTCTCTTTGTTCGCTGCATAGCGAATCATGTATAATACTTTTTTAAGAACTATTTTGTTGTCATTCGTAAAATATCGACTTTCTCTGACGAGGAATTGTTCCAGCAATCATCTGAGCTTCTGAGGATAGTTTTGCGTCGGCAAACGATGAATGCTTGTCATGAGAATAAAGGTAAAGACAGACCGGCACGGACTACCCATGTCGCTTTTGTGGTCGCGTCGCATCATCGCCTTCAAACTGTACTTTTGCTCTCGCAAGCGTGTCGTAAGAAATTTTCCCTTTTGCAAGAGATGATCGGATGATACATAAAAATTGTTTCCAGGAAGGGCTGCTTGTGTATCAAGGCGAAATGGGAGTTTGTGAAAGTCACTTTAAGTCAAGTCATCAATGTGTTTGCCCCGATGCATTTGATCAATGATCTTATTACCCTTTCTTGTTTGTTTTTTGCTATCTGTGATTTGAGAGGTTTGAAGTGAACTCTGTTGTCGAGTTGCACTTTGGCCTCTTCTGGTCGCTACAGCCTTGAACTATGGATCGATAGCCCGTCATCTTTGTTAGAAAAGAGTAAAACATTCTGTTATGTTTGTTTGACATCTAGCCATGTGATCTTTTCGCGTTGGGCCTTTGACGTCACTTCCTCTGAGTCCTGTGATCAACTTCCGAACATAGTCGTATAATGGCGGACGCGAAATCTCGAATTTAACTACCCAGAAAAAGATACTTCTGTGGCTCGGACTAGATTGAAATTTGGCAGGGTAGGTGGGGGATACACACTTATCACGAAAATGAAAATAAAATTATTTACGAAAATTTTGACCTCAGGGGCAATTTAAAGGGAAAGTAAGGTCTAGAAAGAGTCTACCTCAGTCAGAAGACTTTTTCCACAGGGGTTCGAAAATAACTGCCATTTTGTTCAGTTTGCTTTGTATTAAGGTCAAGAGAGCTTTGAAGTGGCTCATTTTTACGACTTTCGTGGTTAGAAAAATACCTTCTTTGACTTCGTCAGTTATGACGTAGCAAGTAGAACTTTGTTCCCCGCTTCGTCCTCATTGACCTGTTTGACCCGTGTGGAAAGAATTTCTAATACTCCCAATAATTGAAATGAGGTGAACTGTCTTGTGGTTAAATGTCCAAATACATATTAAAATTCAAAAGGAAAAGGTGTAAGCCTCCACAATTGAATATAGAAAAGGTAAGCTATGCATACCTTTTCTATATTCAACACAAATTTCACTCATTTATTCTATCAATTTTTTTAAACCATTTTAGTGTAATCGAATAAATTGAAGCTCGAAATGGTGGTACACCGTGTATGGTAAATTTTCAGTCGTCACCCTTGACCAAACCCGATTTCCCAAGTGTGTTCTGCAGGCGCCCATATCTCCCTATATCGTATCGATTGGACACGATAAAAATAATTAACAACTATTCACCAAAGTGGAGGTGGTTAGTGGTGGATATTTACCAAGCCGCGACGCGGCGAGGTAAATATCCACCGCTAACCACCGACACTGAGGTGAATAGTTGTTTTAGTATATACTAAAACAGTGAGATAATATACACTGCTTCGACGTTAATTTGAGTGATTTCTTCGCTTGTCACGGATGCAAACCTGGACGCTATTTTTGCCCGAGTTGCTCGGAGGTAAATAGCAAAGGATATTCGGAGTTTGACTAGCCAATCAGAACGCGTTTTCAACGCCATCCACTGTTATAGTATATACTAATATGAGAATATATCATGTCTTCCAACCGACTACTTGACGTAATTATGCTTATGCTTTCAGAAGAAATCGAAAGTTTCATTTTAGCTTTATTTATATTTTGGTAATTTCTAATGTAAATACTGAATAACGAGAGGCGACTTTCTGGCGCGTTTCGAAAATAACAAAGCTCTACTCCTCACGAGTCGCTTCATTTTAAACACTTTAGGATTAAAAATATTGCGTTGAACCTAGTTGTAGGCGATTAGGTTAAAAACATTATTGCAAATTACAGGTAAATGCTGAAACAAACAAAACTTAATTCGTATCAATTAACTTCTGTCTGCGTTAATTTTGGCAACTAAATGTTTACGTATCAAATTTGTCGGTGTTTACGCATACGAAGAATGCTCTTCAAGTCTATCATTTTTAGATTTGCATTTCTAACTGGGGCTGGTCTTAGTTCCAAACGGCTCGTGTTCGGTTATACACCGAAGCTGATTTTCTGTAACTGCCAAATAATTCGTTTCCTTTCGAGGTAGCAATGTGAAATGCGACTGAGCGGGTCGACGTTTCTTCTTGAAACTCATTTTCCTGACTTTCTCTCTCTTTCTCCTCAACATAGTTATCTCCTTCTCCTGAAGTCGAGCCATGTTTCGTTTGAAACATAAATGGATGTATTACACCCTCACGGCTAGATTAAAATCCAAGTCGAGCACAGCGAGGTTCGTGCGTCATGAACGAGAGCCAAATATTTTCCCGTTTAGCCCGACCGAACTCAGTCAATTAGCATTTATCATAAGTTGAAAGATTTGAACTTTTTTCAACTTAAATAGTACGCATAAGACCGGCCTGCGCAGGAAAACTAAAAAAAAAAAAAAAAAAAAAAAGATTCTACAATAAAACCTTTTCCTTTTTACTAGTCAGAGTAAGAAACTCACAATTTATCGAAAAACATCACTCATTTTCTCATTTTTGTTCACTACTGTTTCTCGTTTTTTGCGACTGAAACTGCGAACAATTTCGCCGTACAAGTGCACCAGGCCCGTCTGACCTTACACACGTCAGCTTTAACTATGGTTTTCTACGGGATTGCGCGAGCAGGGCCAGACGGGTCATATGATAGTATAGTTTCTTTATGTTGGAAATGTTGATCATCACACATATCTGCTATATTGTTATAGTTAACAAATATCGAGGCCTTTATTTTGCTCTGTTCTGTTGTAATGCACGCAGGGAGCGGCTAGAGTATGAAAGAGGTGCAGGGAGAAACACGAGACGTAGGTTTCCCCACTTCACACAATCTATGCAGTAATTTGAAGAAATATGTCAGGATTTTATGCCTTGCTGCAAACAAGAATGAGCGTGTAGTTTCTTAACTATGAGTTTTTGCTCCACTTTAGATCACGAAAGTTATTCCAGAATGTCATAAACATGAAGTTGGCAAAATCGAATTCAGGTAAGTTTGTTTTATCCTTTTTTTTGTGTGAAAAATGTTAGCCTTACCGTGGTATGCATTTTTATGCATCACAAAATATGGAAGATATGTATGATTATCAGACCCCTGACAAAAATTACTGATTGGCTGGTTAGTGGTATTTGTTTAAGTTAATCATTTTAGAGAAAATGGAGGAAGAAATTTCTGGATCGGGAATTGTTTTTAAATATCTGTTAACTTAGTTAAAAACTCTCTCTTATCCTATTTCAAGAGTAGATGATTGCCATGCCATAACCTTTTCTATTTTACGATGTTATGATTATGGTTTCAATAATTCATAAAAGGTGCTGACCTAAGAACCTTGCAAAACCACGTATGTATAAATAAATCAAGTTGGAGTTGTTTACTCCAAAAAGTAGGTAAACCAGTGTTCCCCAAAGGAAGTAGTGGGGAACACTGGTTTACCAAAACCACTTTAATGTGTTTGATTTTATTATCAACTTTGCAAAGAAATTGTGCACCATAACAAATAATCGGCGACAGTACAAGGTGCTTTGGGAACTATAAGTCTCCCACCTCCTCGAGGATGTAACTATAAATACAGATAAATAAATGAAATAAAAATACTGCTGATAGTTTTGGTCAGTGTTTTGGTGGTTTTGGTGGTTTTGGTGGATGTCCATTCCTTGCATTCACCAAAACTACCTAACACCTTGACCCCTACTGGATATCTTAACTATCTGCATAAAATTGCGCAAAATGTATTAGAATACCGCCATCGAACTATAAATTAATACTGACCAGTTCTTGGGTAAAATTTTTTGACGCAATTTCTCAAAGAAGTAATACACTTAAGTCACCGGGATAAATCGGCATATCTTCGTAGCTTTAGAATTTTCTTTTAGTATAATATGTCATGAGGTGTCCATCATTCCACCTCTGTCCCTCTCGGCCAAGGTGATTTTGGTGGATGGAATCTAATGCTGAACATTTAGAACATCATTTTCAGTATACTTATTGGAGTTGTATAAAATTGCTCCTCACTGGGAATGTTTGACCGCACTTCATATTTCACTGCACAGGAAAAGACTTGCGTTAGTGTTGAGTATTTTCCGGGAGATTCAACCGGAATACCATTCTAGCGGTGTGCATCTTGAATCTTTATATGGCGTTAAACATAAAAATTAATTTTCAACTTCCAAGTTTATTTTCAACACTCAAGGTTTCCTTTTAAACCATATGCAAAAGTTCAGGTGTTATTTTCAACATTTAAGTTTTGTCAGCCTTCAAGTTTTATGGTTAAACGTTCTGTGTACAATATGAATTAGAAAGGAACTTCGAGGACAAAACCTCTTTTCTGCTTTCAAATTCATACCTTATTGCAATCAGTCCAGATTCAAACATGAGGCGTAAAGGAAAGATTTATCACAGGAGAAGCGTCTAAAACCGCGTTACGCCTCCAAAGAGCAGACTTTTCGCGCTCCACTTTTTTAGTAAACATAGGCGTGCTACGCATGCAGGAGATATTTTTGGGATTTGTGGATTGGAATGGGACACCTACTAACTGATGCTGGTGCCCTGTGCGTGCGAAATACGTGATAAAGTGCAGGTTGTTTACTGGAAATTGACACGCAATGGAGTAAAGTCCAAGTTAGCTAAAAGTGAATTTTATTGATAGGAAACGTATCAGCACGTAAGGGTTGTGTGGAAAATTCACCGCCTTTACCATTATGTTCCTTGTGATTTATTTTTCATTGAGGTAGAATTATGTCATAAAAATTACGTTGTTTATCATATAAGGGCAAAATTACTGAATTGTGATTGGTCAAGACAGAGGGCATTTTTTCTTAATTTTTGTAATTGCCCCGGGCAAAATTACTTGAAAATGATTGGCTGAAAATCGCCTAGCAACGGCTGCCAAGGTAAAGAAATTTCTGTTTCTTTTGTAACAATGACGTCCCGTTTTGCGCGAGATCAGTAAGAAAACATTTTGCCCCTTATATTATAAACAAGTAATCGCATGGTTCCTCGTAAAATTAAGGATTAACATCACTTGTGCTTTCCGAAGTTGCAGAAATTGCCCGAGTCGCTGCGCGACTCGGGCAATTTCAGCAACTTCCGAAAACACGCGTGATATTAATCCTTAATTTTACTCGGCCCCATGCGATTACCTATACTTACTAGAAAATGGCATTTCATCTGAGGAAGTCTAGTCCACACTGGCGAGTAAAAAGTAAACTCGCAACTGTAGCGGGAAAGTATCGTTTAAACAATATCTAATTCATCGAGAACTTTTAGAAGCAAAGAAACGGATATTTTACATGGCAGTCGACTCAGAAAGTAAATATAACTTGGT